CAAATGCTCCAAAGTGTCACTTGGTAATCTAAGGTATGGGTTTGTGCTGGCATGGTTCACTGAGTATTGGTACCAACTGGCCAAGCAAAGTTGATCAATCACATATTGAGGGGAGAAATGCTACTTGTTTATTCTTGTTTACTACTTGGTTTACATAATGTACAAGTGGCAAGATTTTATACCACGTTGGACACAAAAAAAAAAAAAATTGTTAAATCGACATATGAAATCTTGCCACTTGTACATAATGTAAACCAAGTGGTACATAAGAATATACAAGTAGCATTTCTCTATCGAGGAAGGAAAAGAAGATAATTATTCATGTTGTTTCATACTATCCCATACTATGTATTAAACATGCTATGATGTTTATTGTTTAGTTCTATGTCAAATCCATTAAAGCATCTTCAATCATGGTGTAACATAGATCTAAATTATGATTCAGATTTTCAAGGTGATCAAATACCTCTCAAATGGAGAGAAAGCAAATGTGAATTGCATTTTTCGGCATAAAATGGAAAAAAAAGTCCACAAGAGGCAAAAAAATGGATTTGGATCTTCTCATTGGAGTAAAATTTGAATTTAGATCTACGGGCGATGAAAATGATGATGTAAAGGTGGTTTTGGAGATGTCTTACACCACCATTGAATATGCTCTTGCATGGTTTCCTCATGGCACAATGGTTTGCCTGCCCTTATATTGATAATTTGTTTGGTCATCATTATTTTTAAAATATATTTTTTATCTCTTACTTTTAACCACACATTTTTGTTAACCATTTTGGTTGGTTCATCTATTCACTCCTAATATTGGTGTGAACCTTCAACAGTGGAAATTTTCTATTGCTAATATAAGTTCCTTTTCAATTTTGTAAATTACAATGAACTTTAATTAATTTAGTTTCTTGTTTTCAGTATTTAAAAATATGGAAAATTTACTTTTGATAATACTTTAGTAAGAATTAAGGGTATGTTTGATAGGTGAGTTTTTCTAGGGAAAATGGAAACCATTTTCCATTTCCCACTTTTTTAAGTATTTGATAGTGTTTTTTATTGACAAGAAAATTTTTTCCCATGGAAGCACTCACGCGCCTGTTTTCTTCAGAATCTGGGAAAAGCTTTTCCCACTGCTGCACGTAAAAAAAATTTTTTTTGTTTTTTTTTTTTTACTTTTTGTCAA